TATTTTTCTACAAACAAAGATCTGCTGTTTCACAGTGAGACTGCAACGGCACTGACTTGGGTCAAATGATATTGCTGACAATGATAGAGTGTGTGGTCGAGCTACCGTTATCATTACTATGCTCACGAGCTTTTGATCTATCAACAGCTCTGTTGGTGTATTGAACTAAATTTATGTTTAAGATCAATGGCAGGAGTTCAGGTTACGGTTTTCCGAGCCATGTTATGTGCGTCACTACAGCATGGGGAACACGGCCTGGAGCCGAGGGTGGGCCCCTGCTGCAGTTCCCACCTGACACTGCGTCGGTGTGCTTTGCTTCAAGGGAATGTTTCACGTTTGAAGATGCTGAAGCGAGCGTCAAACATGATGTAATGAGCTCGGTTATAACTATTGGTTTCCTTTCGAGTTGAAAAGTAAGCAAACTCTCCGTTTGCTAAATATGCTTCTCAACATATCCTTGTTTGATTGCGTCATCGTACCTTGTACAACACCGATTGAGAGCCAATTGACGGCGGTTATATCTGGAAGTCGTGCTCACGAACGCGAGATATGAACGAGTCGACAACTATATTTTTATTAGCCTTGATCGCCGCATGCCTAAAGAAAAGGCAAGATTTGAATGTCGTTGTTTTGGCGTCATGGACTCCTGGGTGACCTCGAAAGAGTCACTCGAAATAGTCGGCACATCTTCGCAGGCGTGTACCTGAGAAACTAGAGGGGGTTGGGTCTTAAGAAGGGCAGAGATATGAAGTGCACCGAATGATCTTCAGGATTAATATTTCAGTCCAAAACTCCACATAAATTTGGAACAATCCCTTTCAAGCATTGGTGAACGACTTACCGCGTATTTAGATATTAACAGGGCTGCTGGGAGGATACTGACATCCTAATAGGTAGTGTGTCGGTCCAAAAACACTTAGCTAACGTTTACATTGGTTGCGCGCCAGCCACAAACTTGAAAAGCAGAGGTGGTGTTCCCTCAAAACTACGGGAGGAAAACACATCAGTCACAAAACGCAAGGAAAAGGAACAGCACTGCGACACCAACACAGGGCAAACCTAACATTCATCGACTTGTGCCACTGCCCATTGATAATCACATTTCATCCCGGCTTGTCCGGGATAAGATGTATGAGTCCTTACATATTTTGAGCGGGTTTGTGTCCTCGGCAGCGTTATTTCGTACTTAGCTAGCACCGGAGTGAGTCATGACTCCTAACCCTAAGCTCTTGTTTTTTGTATGGTCCCGTTGGCCTCCCGGGGCGGTTAACAGTTGGATGTGTTTAAGCTTGGGCGTCGGATGGGTTGGATTGGGCGTCGGCTGGGGTGGATCGGGCGTCGGCTGGGGCTTGATGTCCTCCAGTTTTACTCGAAGCTCCCCGTCCCTACGGGCGGGCGGTTGTCCACACGAGCGCCCCCCCCCCCCCCCCCCCCCCCCCCCCCTCCCCCTGGGATCGGACCGGGCCGGGCAGCGCCGGAATATGGGCCTGCTGGCGCCCGGGCGGAACGGCTGGCCCGGTGGCTCGGTCGATGATGCGTCGGCCCGCCTGGGCCGCCGCAGGTTGAAGCTGTAAACTGTCGTGTAGCGACCGGGTGGGGGACTCCGACGAAGCTGTTATTTTCCTCTCCCGCAAATGTGGAACTCTCATTTTAGCAGACGCAGCATCGTTTCGCATGTCACGTGCGGGTGGTATACCAGTCGGTGGGTCGGTATTCGGGGTGGACCTGTGTGGGTCACAGGTGGTGGACCCAGGGGGTGGTGTACCGACTCACCTTATTTCTGTATGAGAGGCTTAGTCGGTCTCGTCTGGATTGTTGCCTGTCATACATATTGCATTAAAACAATCGCGTTGGCCTATAATGACTACTCCCAACTTTTATTTTCTGACCCCGTGTGTCAAGCTTTCAGCATTCAATTTTTAACAAAGGCGGTTCTAGCACAGGTTTTTGAAAGGCAAGGCTGTCCATTTTCACACTTTACTACAGGCGCCAAATAACGTAAAATTTATCGAATGAACTCACTTTGTGGGGCGTTTTGCAGTGTAGTGACTCGTAAGATTGGTGTGCATGGCACACGTGGCACAATGTAACGATATAAGTTGAAGAAGCGGTTCCAGGATGAGGAAGATGTGGGATGTTATCACTGCACATGGTAACATAGTTCCTGATTAGTTGTTTATACTGCCTCGATTAGAAGCGATGCTAGACATACCTGGCAATGACAGGGGCGGTTTCAGTGCGCCAAAACTGGGGGAAATGCGTTTTCCGGATCAAGCCACCTGATGATTCAGGTTTGCGTATCTATTTAGTGCATGCGTCCTGGGCAATAATATGTTTTGTGTTGATCGTAGGCGAATCCAGGATAGCTGGCTCCACTTACACCCGTGGATCCAGCTATCCTACGGTGTAGAATCCAGCAAATGCTGGATTTCACTAATGCACCTACGTCCACGTTACACCCACGATCCGACAGCAGCACCACCTACCTTTCATTAGGCGAGGTTGTAAACGTGGCTCTTTCGGGGGAAGGTTTGGGGTTCAGGGTTAGGGTTCGGGGTTGATAACACCCAATAGTTCAAATCTCATGTCAACATTCGCATTGTTGAAGTCCTTCGCGATCATTACCGAATGTTCATCAACTCTGACCTGTGGTTTATGTTCATGACCCATGATGTTCAAAATGCATACCGTTCATTAGGGGCGTAGCCAGGGTCTTGGCACGGGTAGGGCAGCAAACTTGGTACAAGACCCTAGGCGCAATGACCCCCGGAAAGTACGGGCTTTGGCCAACTTCATTTTGAGTGACCCCATTTTTTCGGTTCTGCCACGAGGCTCATTCAATGAGGAACCACATGGATTAGATGCTACGAACACTTTCTGGAGAGTTGGCTCCACAGGTAAAACGCCGGGGACTTTTTAATCACTTTTCCCGTCCACTGAATGAAGGCCTTTTCAGGGTCCAGGGACTTATAGGCAACCGTCCGTACACTGGGACCCGCTCAGCTCCCCGGTACTGGATTTCTCTGGTCGATCTAGAGGCCCTCAGGGCGCCATATCATGGGGACACCGCAGGGGGGCACATGTGTCTCCTCCCTGATGCAGAAGGTACGCTGACTGGAACAGTTGGCCCTAAATCTATCCAGAATATCTCCCTGATGCAAAAGGATCCCCTACAAGCACAGAAGTCCAATTATTGCCACAGGGACCCCTGCACGGCTCATCGAATCCCTGGCCAACACGGCGCGGAGGAACCCTGTTCGTTTCTGGGTGGCGTCCGGTGCGGGTTGTTTCGTTTTCCTTAAAACGGGCGCTATCATTTTCAATTGTTTTTGTTGCAGTATCTTATTTCCGTTTCAGGAGACACGTCTCTCTTCGTTGTAAGAAGGATCCAAACAACTCAGGAGACTCTCTGACATTATCTTACTTCCGTTTCAGGAGACACATCTCCCTTCGTTGTAAGAGGGATCCAAACAACTCAGGAGACCCTGTGACATTCGGCGTCCCGTCCCGAGCAACTTCTCACCGATTAAGTCCCTGGTCGAGTCGGTGCGCCGTGCTGCCACGGGATCCCGTTAGGCCCTGCGGGCTCCGTTGACCGCACAGGGACCCTTCATTTTGAGGTGTCCCTGAGCGTGAGACATGCCTTCATCGGCTCAGGAGTCCCGACCAATACAAGTGGTCTTCTGACGGAGACTCGCGAGTCCCGTCCTTCCCCTGCTTGGGAGTGTGCTGTAGAGGTGATCTCGGACAAACGTGGGAAAGGGCATCATCCCAGGGAACCCCGATCGGTGCAAGCAGCCTTCAAACATTGGAGGGCCACGGCCCATAGGGCCGGAGCTCCCTCAGAACGACCTCCGGCCAGCTCTTTGAGCCCTCCCATCTGACCTTGGCTTGTTGGCGCCCGCGGGGCCGGGCCCCCTCGGGTCCCGCGAGGCCGGAGGTCCCCTGGGGTCCCGCGGGGCCGGGGCCCCCTCAGGTCCCGCGAGGCCGGAGGCCCCTTCAGGTCTTAAGGGGGTGTGCCCTCTGCGCCCCTCTCCTGCCTACGCCCATGCTGTGATGCGTGCTGTTGTGTTCGAGTGTCGTTTGCTCGTGACTTATGCGTCCTGTAATTTGTATGTTTGCGCCTTTTGGCATGCACATTCATTCTTTTAAGTTGTATTTTACCTGTTTTGATAGGCTAGAATAACCATCGGTGTCATGTGGATCGCCCTATCAGTATCTTAGCCTTAATGCCCATTACCTGTATAATTCGACATCTACTAGATGGTGTTGGGTGGAGAGGAACTAATCGCAAAACCGTTCCCTCCCACGTGAAAGTCCAACCGCCGAACCCGCCGCCAGTGCCAGGAAGCCTGGGTGGACTACCTCATCCCGACCACCCTCTTACCAGCCATAAGCGTCCGCGCAGTGGGTGGGTTGACGCACAGCGTGACGTCAGCGGACGTGCAGCTGCGTGCCGAGAGCCGTGCCGACGGAGGTCACACCCGCCAGGCCATCGGTGGTGGCGCCGCGCAACAGTTCCAGCGTTAGGAAGACCGGACGTGGTCGCAGCGCCCCCCCCCCCCCCCTTCCTTGCATACAGCGTTGGCGACGCATTGCTATCGAACGGAGCAGCGGCGAGAACGGAAGCCGCGCCGCCGGACGGCGCCACCCTGGTGCCGGCTCCAGGGGCGGCGCCGTGGGCGCGCGCAGACGACAGACAGCTGGCACGCGTCAGTGGGGGGGGGGGGGGGGAATCAGTGCAAGCGTCGGCTCCAGTGCGGGTGCATGTACCCCGCGGGGAGGCTGGTGGCGTCACGAGCTCACCACCGTACTGGCGTAAGTGTCTGAGGGATGCGGATGCCCCATGTGACACAGCCCATGGGAGCCCGTAAAAAGGTTACCCGCCCCATGTTGATATAAGCCTGCACGGGGTGCTCGAGAATTACAAACATACTGCGCGAATGTTGATCAGTCAGCCTGCAGCTTACCGCGATCTGTGTGGCATGGATCGGCACGGATATGACTTTCGGTGGATGCGGCTGCGTTAGGAGGCTGTGTCGTATGTGACCCGAGTGAGTGTTATGATTGTAGGCAGTGAGTTGTTGTCGGCGCATTCGCCGGCACGGTGGAGTCGGGGCACACCTTCACGTTCTCCGGCTGCTGAGATCCCACATCGATCTCTAAAATTGCTCGAAGGTAGGTGGAGCCGTGATTTGCGCAAAGTTTGGGCTCCTCTGCGAGGCGAGCCACACTGTTGCTGACGCGGTTGTCCGTCTTCTCTTTCCTCAAAATCTCTTCGTCTCGTTTCACTCAGACTTCACAGCGTTCACGTCTGAAATGGGTCTCGAACTGTACTCTTCAGGCTTTCGCAATGTGCTTTGTTCACTTCATTAACACGCGCTCGGGTGGGGGAGGCAAATTGACCACCCCCAAAGGTTTTTCCAGAATGGTTTCCGAACAGCGCGGCTTAGCCACGCCATATTTTGCATGGATGTAGACAACTGAATAACGGATTGTTTGACGTAAAAATTTAAATGTACCTTGTAAGGTCGCTGACCTATGGCAGGTCAAAGTCAGGCCGTGGTTTCAGCAAAGGCAATGTCTAGGGAAACGTTCCATCTGATGCGACAGCGAATTGTTAGGCGAAGCCATACATCTCTGAGATGCTTTCTTAGGCAACACAACTGTTGAATGAGCAAATTACATTGACTTAGGTTCAGGTAGGAAGGTCAGACCAAGGTCAAAACCGACCTGTTTTATTACTCCAGGGTTTGCTGTATGGGGTAGTTTCTGGAGCTCATTTCGAATATATTGATAGCAGGAACACCATTATATATCTTCCATGAACTTCTTAGAGGTCAGACTAGGTGATTTACCTAAAGTGACCTAGGAAAAAATATTGTTTTAGGAACATACTGCCTAGCGTAATCTTTGTCGGTTAGTGAAACGCAAAACTCCAAGCAATCTTGTATGATTTTGGTCACCTTGACCTTCAAAAGGTCAAACCAGGTCACTGACCATGGACGAGAATGCAACGCTTTGCTTAGAAACGGTTATCTACATTCTGGAGCACTTTGGAGACCAACCTGGAACTTCACCATGTTTGACCTTTTTTGAACCGAAGGTCATAATCTAGGAATCTGAAACTTTCACCTAAGTGAGTTCACGTACAGGTTAATACACCCTGTAAATTTGGTGTCTCTTAGTTCCCGAGATCTTTGGGGGTCAAATTGACCCTCCCCACACTCGAGCAAATGGTATCTAGCCGGCCAACCGGGTGCGTGTTAACTGCTGGAGGTGCTATCGTAGTTACACCGCCGCAGGGTCGGGCCGCCGGATCTGACAGTGAACATAGCCCATTGGACCTGACAGCTGAGACAGCCCAGGGTGTCTGTTAGCTAATACAGCCCGCGGAGTCTAGCAGCTTGCCGGGAAATGTCTAAACGGGAAGCTAAATGTCGGGCACAATGACAATGAAGGCAGTTAGAAATAAACAATGAAAAAAAGCAGAAGTCGGCCAAGAACACTGGCCACCTACAAAGGCAGTGAGCTACTACCCCAAATTTGCGTCAAGTACATATGGTTAAGAAATATTATAACTCCAGTGTCACTAGATGCTGATGTATTACTGTGTGTGGTGCTCGATATCTTTCTAAGAATTTATCAACCATTCATGTGATACCAGAGAAGTCTGCTGGGCCACGATAAAGGGACAATGCCATGCCACCAGTCAAGTACTGGACTCCGATTTATTTTCCGCCAAGCACAAGGAAGGGAATGCGAAAAAAATGTGTGGCGTGTTTTGAGCTTGTTATGAGCATTTTGTTAAATACGGGTCCAGTATTGATATAAGATGCTCCACATGAACAAGCAAATGAATCACGAAGAAAGCTGTATGGTGCAAAGTAGTGTTATTTTGGTACCTTTTTACTAGGCTATTACTTTGTTCGGCACAGTGACCCTCTCTCCACAGCCATGTTGTAATGACCATCCTCCCATGGCCATGTTGCAATGGTCCTCCCTCCATGGTCATGGTGCCATGGCCCTCTCTCCATCCCTGAAATCACCTGGTGGTGCGGTGCTGTTGTATGGTAGCATGGTAGCCAAGTAATAACGTGACAGAAACAACTCATATATTTCACGTTTCTTGGTCACAGGTTCTGTACGCATCTTAACCTCCATTTCATTTCCATTATCGTGCGTTGCATTGGTTTTGTGCCACACTTCAGTGCCAGCGGACGCTATCTGAAATGTTTCATGAATAGCTTTAGTTTTGTTTTCCAGCCGCAGTTTTGGACCACAAGCATTGACAGTGATCGTTTCTACCATACACGTAGACATGGCAGGTAGATCACATTAACTGACGAGCGGTTCCAATGGACGAGTAGGTAACGCTCGTCTACGTGCGAGCGATCTCCCTCTTAAGCCGTTCCTATTACAAGTGGCTGTAACAGGCCGCGTGGAAACTGTGTTCGATGTACCTCCAAATGGATATATCTCTATGTTTTATGGATATGATTCCACATGGATATGATTTAATGTTATAGTTTTATTGCGGATGATATTTATATTTACCTATTTTTCATTTACTATTGCATACTATCACTCATGTGGTAAAGACAATGAATGCGATATTGGATGCTATGCCGCTAGAAGTTCCGAGAGTATCCTTAACGTCGTGTCCGACCGGAATGGTAAGGAAATTTAGTTGCTCTTTATGTTCCTGATCATGTATCGAATTGATGGATGCGGACCAGAGCTGCTAAGCGCGACCACAAGTCTTTTTCGTGCTAGATGCTTCACACAAGGACATTATCTCGTGACAATTGCAAAAAGCACCACAAGTTGCATAAGCAGGAGCGAAACTCATGATTTATTTGTCAGGGCCATTACAGACAGCAGCTGATTATCATCTATAAAACTGTTGTTGCATCAAGAACCTTTTTTGTCATTTCAGGTTTGCAGCACTTGATATGTGGTGCTGTGGAACTATATCAACTGTAAAATGGCGAATGCGTACGTGATGAGGAGATTAAAAGCACTTCCGCGTTAAAGTTTAACCACTATTTTGATGACTTCTGTTTAATATTGACGACGTGAAAACAGCTGCAAGGAAGCCTGTTGCGTGACGAAACCGACATCGGCAACAAACTTCAGTAATGGAAGGCGGCCCGAAGTGATGCAGAACTGCCCATCCCCGTATGACCATCGTCCGTCATTTCCACTTATCTCTACTGCCGTAATGCTCATTTCTAAAATGGGTATGCTTGGCTGCTTCAATTTTCTCTGGATCTGCTTGCTACGGTATTTTATATAAATGTCACTTTTGCCTTAACGACTTGCCTACAATTATCAGCGCTTACACATATACCTAAGGCGCTGAGGAATGTGTCATATCAGAGCCGTCAGCTGTCTAAGGCATGGTTCATCAATATGGAGACCGCACTGTTCACGTGGGTGACGATGAAAAAAGTGTGTTGACCGCATCAGCTGACAGGCAGTGCTTGTTACCATGGCGACAGGCGCTGCGTATTACCATGGAGACAGGCATTGCGTAGCAGCTCATGGTGCGGATATGACACTAAACCTCCCTCGCTGTGGTCTCGGCACTCACTGAGACAGCAAGAAGGGAGCATCGAGGGCTACCCCACAACTTGAGTTTCTTTTGGATAAGCCCTACCGCCCTGTCAAAAGGGGTTTCTGGGGTCAATATAATTGTCTAAGGGGTCCTAACGGGTTTCCGCTGTCAATCCGTTCCACCTGTGCACTCTGCTGAAATGCAGTAAGTCGAGCATCTCAGCTACCCCCGGATAGCTCGACTAAGCCGGGACGGAGACGGGCCGTTTTTCCGTGCCGTGCGCTCCCTTTCTGGGGCATCGCACGACTACTGCGGAGCCGTCTAACCGCCCGTGACTGCTGCTGTGCTGGTGATTGCTGAGGGTCCAGCGGTTCGCCGTCAAACCATCATTCAGATCAGCGGTGCTGCCCGCCCCCCCCCCCCCCCTCCGTCCCCCACCGGAGCCTCTGTGACGCAGCTGACCTGGGCGACGGAGGCCCCGCTCTGTCATTCAATGGAAACGGACTGGAAGAGCCCAAGTGTCCAATCGGACCGAGAGGCTGAGTATCCCCAGTCTGACCGAGAGGCAGAACCTCCCAGTCTGACCGACAGGCTGAGTCTTCCTAGTCTAATGGAGAGGCTGAGTCTTCCTAGTCTGATCGCGAGGCTGAACCTCCCAGTCTGACCAAGAGGCTGAGTCTTACTGGTCTGACCAAGAGCCTGAGTCTTCCTAGTCTGTTCGAGAGGCAGAACAGACCTAGTCTGACCGAGAGGCAGAACCTCCCAGTCTGACCGACAAGCTGAGTCTTCCTAGTCTGACCGAGAGGCTGAGTCTCCCTAGTCCGACAAAGATCCGAAGTTTCGTAAACCCGGAGCCCGCAGATTGGTAACATGCGGAAGCGGCCGGCTGGCAAATTGTGTGCAACTGGTGCGAAGAGCGTACGTGTACAGATACGAAGACCGTGCATAAGTACACAGAGCATAGAGTTTGTCCATGTTGCCATGGGGCCCGCATGTGCAGACATGGCTTTTTAGTTGCTTGGGTTGGCATTGTACCGCCGCAGTTCGGTGCGCGTGTGTAACACCGCGGTTCGGTGTGGAGATGTTTGCTATTCTTATCGGCTGAGCAGGCAGCAGTTGATCATTTCAGGCCACACCGCCCGCGGGCAGAGCAACACAGGGTTATCTGTCAGAACTCTACGGGCGGACTGTTTGACAACCTTATTGTGCTCTATCGTGCTGACACCTACGATTAAAAATGGAAGTGAGCTAATCTTCATGGATAGGAAACACATTAGGAGGTTGGCGGTGTGGGCTTTCTTGGTGCGTTGGATTTACAACGGCAACAGTATGCCGTGCGCCAGGGTTTACAAAAATTCCACTACTTTAGCAAAGTCGTATCTTGCGACAGTAAAATAAATCTGCTAAAATTACACACCACGCATGCTTGGGTGCAAGTGGCAGAAAATATGATCATCCAGGGGGCAACAGCGGTAGATTGCTTACTGTAGATGATATCACTGTTGCCCGATGTGACGGCTAGGACACACACTGTTGCCCGAGGAGATGGCTGGGACGAACCCTTTCGGCCCAGGAGATGGCTGGGACGAACACTTTTGCCCGAGAAAATGACTGGGAC